TTAATTGTTTACAATTATATTGTTATGAATCAGAACTACTCTGAGGTGAGGGGGGGCAAAGGGAGGTAGAAAAAAAACAAAGTCTATGATTAGCATATGAGCTCCAAACTTGGAAATGGCTGAAAGTCAGTTGTTTGCTGTATGACTAGAGCCCAAGGTCACAGACATGATGCGCTTGGGCTGCAGAAGAAGAATAAGGACTGTTCAGTGTGTGAGCAGCCAGGCTGTGGAGTTGTGAGAGCTCACCTGCACCCCTGCCCACCTGCAGCAGGCTTCTCAATATAAAACTAACTATAAATTCACTGGAGTTATAATTCTTTTAATGAAAAAAATGGGGTCACAATCCTAGTAGCCTGTCAGGTTGGGAAGTCAATAACTATTAAAGTGCTTATACCTCTAAAAAAAATGGCAACAATCCCATAGAATGGTTTCCTGTAAGAGCATCCTATCTGAAGGTATCTCATCTTTTACAGTATTTTTCTAATTGTTTATCTTTTTTTTTCTTTTACTGTCACTGACACTCATTTGAGATGGATGATCCTAAAGCTTTTGTGTATTTTTTTCTTGGACTAAACTATTATTTACAGGGGGAGAGGGGCAAGAAAGGCTCTAGAGGGTCTAAAGGGGATAAGGGAGACCAAGGAGCGCCTGGATTAGATGCACCCTGTCCATTGGTATGTTCTGTTTTATCAAATGTATTGTTTTAAGATTTGTCAATGGGAAAGAAAGAAGGAAAACTTAAATTAAACAATGACTACTCTGGTATCACAAAAGTCACATTGCTCAGATAAGGTCCTGTCCTATTTCCACTGTAGTCTACGGCAAAGCTGTTTTCTTCAGTGATATATAGGGACAATTCTGTAAGCAAGTGGGCTGTTGAGTAACGTTGCCTGTTCCTTTTTTTTCAGAAGCTCAGAAAGGAGAGCAAAGGGCTTTCATTGTGAAAGTAGAGCCCTGGAACTCCTGTTGTGATCCCAGTTACAGATTCTGTTTTGGAAATATTTAACATCATCATCCTTAAGCAGCAATGAAATCTAAAATGCCTTCTTTTTTCCCCTCTGGGTAGTGACCAGCTGGTGTGATCAAAAACTAAGTCTCCACTTGATAACAACACAGGACACCCAGGTTAAGATACCCAGTGGGAACACAAATTGATATGAAATACAAAATGATCAGGATGACTACTTCAGTCAACATGACATCCTCTCACTTCATCAGGAGCCTCCTGTTACATTTAAAAAGAGAGAGAATGCCTCAACTTCTTCTTAATGAAAAAACTCTTCTAAAATCCTGTTGAATAGCCACAATGTTATATGATAACAAGTTCACAAAGATATAGCCTGGCTGTTTCAGGAAGCTCTAGGAGTGTAAAGTGTAATTATTGGTCCTTTCAATTCTTTCCTCAGTTAAACTATTTGTTATAGTTGAAACCACTTGTGTACCACAGTGCTAAATACAGATTACGTACCGAGAAAAATCTGTAATAGAAATTAATCTGTATCAAAGCGAAGCTGGGAAATGAAAATGATTTCTGAATAGAGAGATCTTCTTCCCAGTCCTCCGTTATTTAACAAAATCAGAGGCAGCTTCTGACTTTTAAAATATATTGATCCAAAGAGACAACTGTTACTTTTGATTGCCTAGATATTGTGTGTTTTATGTCTCTGACTGTCTCTGCACTGGGTATACAGCTTGAGTGCCCTCCCTGTGTAGGACTGGGCCTCTCCTCCCACAGCAGGGAGGTAGCTGGCATTGACTGAAATAATTATAGTGGTTGATTTCATGAACAGGGACACCGAGGTTTTAAAGGCGAGAAGGGTGAGCCGGGGTTACCTGGGCTGGACGGGCTGGATGCCCCTTGCCCATTGGTATGGTGTTACCTTCCCTTTCCTGCATGTTTCTGTTTGCTGCTTTTTTTAAATGCTGTTTGCTGATTCCTTCAACACTGGCATGGACTGTCAATAGATCCCTTTCTACCAGTTTCTCTCCTATCTCCACTCTCGCTTGCTTCAGAACGTGATCCCTAACCCTTTTGCAGTGAGTCAGGGTTGCTACAACCATCTCTTTGTGGTATGGGTGGAAACAAAGCAGCAGTGTGGCTGTCTTTCCCCATAACAAAGCTTGAAATTTCATTCCTAATTGCTTCATCTCAACCTTTCAGTTTTCCTTCAGAGTTTCTCCTGGACTGATACTTCAAAGTCTGACTCCCAAATACTTCAGCTTTCAATCTGATAAATTGATATGCTTAAATTCTGCACTAACTCAACTTTCAAGTATTTATATTTAGCCAGCAAAGTCTGACATCCTCCTACATTACTTAGGTGCCTTCCATATTTTAAAGTAAATCATAAGGATACATATATAACACAAATCAACCTATGAGAAGTATCTCAATACAATATTTCAATCCATCAAATTGTCAAAAATGATTTTCTAATTGTACTGTCCTAGAAACAATAAAGCATTCTACCCTTTTGGCACAGTCCCTTTCACTCATTAACCCTATTAATGTCTGAAAAAAAAAAGGATTTTGCAGTGTGCCAAGAGTTAAATTCAGACTCAGATGGAAAACTCTTTGAACTGAAGGACCTTCATGCAGAACCGTCACTCAACAGTTTCCGCTGTTCTGTGTTAAGGGAACACAAGCTCAAACTCTGCTGTTGACCGCTGTTGTGGCTGTATACTCAACATATCTGTTTTCCTTAATCTCAGAAAAGGTTACCCTTGTCTTAATCTGCGCAACAAAATGCTAAAATAACTATCTTAGTAGTTTTATTCACCTTCCTAAATACTCTGTTAACCAAAATATGACAAAGTTATTCAGGAGTTTATTACCACAGCTAATCTATGTCATAAATCCAGGTTTACCTAAGAATGGATGGCACCAAGTCTTGCCAGACATATGCAGCCCTTTGCACAAAAGGTGTAACCACAGGTAGTTCATTTGAAGCTCCCTGTTTCAGAAACAAACCAATTAGAAAACTGTAGGCACAGGCAGAAGTAACAGTTTTCACTCAATCTGCCCTCTGACAGCACTCTACAGTCATAACCAAACAGAAGTGCTTGGCTGAAAAGCACCTTAAAAGGGCCCGATCCCGCAAAAATCTGAATTCTCATTTCATGAAGGTTCAGCAAAATGGAGTGGCTTCAGTAACTTGTGTCTGTGCTGACCTCCTAGCCCTGGTGCTATCTTCAGAATGGGATGGGGGAAAAAAGAGTGGAGGGAGTTCAGTATGGGGTTTTTTTCAGCTGGTACTGGAGGGTGAGGCAGGTGGATTGGAGCTCTGCCAACATGGGGGGCTCCATTCCATCCACCCCACCCACCAGTGCCAACTGGGGAACCCCCAGAACAAGTTCCCTCTGCTCCCTTTCCCTACACCCATTCTGAAAACAGCACTGGGGTTTGGAATGGGGACAGGCATTGCTAGGGGAGAGTGGCTGCAGGCTCACAGCCTCTCTAAACAGCAGCTGGATTCCCCAACCCTTGGGACCCAACAGTAAACTTCCTGCAAAGCACCATGAGTTCCAATGGGGAGCTGCTCTTCTGTCTGTGCCTCATGTAAAAAAGAGAAAAAGCCCCAAACTCAGATCCTGCATCTGGGTAAATATATGCAGTAAAAAGTTTGTAAAATATTTACAATTTTATCTTTGAAACCAGCTAACACTACTGATACTCTTGGTATTCCTTGTATCTTGCACTTCCATTTGCTCTTCAGAATAAATAATTGAATGCTGATAACTATTTACAAAGCCAAAATTGTGAACATTTTAATGGCAACGACTGTTCTGAATACTGATTAAACAAACAGTTGCTGACCACATTCTCACATGTGCCATCCTAGCTGGCCGGAGAGGTTAGAAATGGAACTCTTGAATACATTTCACCTCCTACTAGTATAAGTCAGCTTTCTACGGCCCATTCCTAAATGGTATGAAATGTCCATTAATAAAGAATATCTTCCATGTTTTGAGGGTCTTGTAGCCATGTTGGTCTAAAGACATAAGCAGACAAGGTTCTTTGGATAAATGTGATATCTTCTATTAGACCAACTAAATAGTTGGACAAATTGTTCTTTGCAAGCTTTCGGGTACAAGCACCCTTCTTCAGGCAGAGGCAGAGTTTGCAGTTGTTTTGTGCTCTCCTTGGAAAGCATACTGGCATTCTTGCACACCGGCTTCTGTCCCATCCAGGAGAGCACAAAACAACTGTAAACTCTCCCTCTGCCTGAAGAAGGGTTTTTATACCTGAAAGCTTGCAAAGAACAATTTGTCCAACTATTTAGTTGGTCTAATAAAAGATATCACATTTATCCAAAGAACTTTGTCTGCCAGGCATAAAGACTCTACCACTGCCTTTGGAAAATTATCTGACTACTTTCTTTGGCATTACTCCTCTCAAGTCAAAATTACACACAGAGGCAGCATCATAATGCATGTCTTTTCATGATTGTTTTGTTTTGGGAAACTCACTAGAATATTTGATGAATTAAAACTCACATTATATATAATAATCGGGCACCTGCATAACTTTGGGACACTAAGCATGGTTTTTGACCTAAACTTGTTAATACGTACTTACTTCAGCCTGGCATTGTACTGACACATCTCACTGTTCTTCAGAATCTGCACAACTATTTATGGAGGCCAAAACTAAGCTTTTTAAGTCTGAAAATTTTTAATCTAAAAATTCACTAACAACCATGTTCCACAAGTTCCTTCCTTTGCAAACTAGCCTGCAACAAACACTTCCATGTGACTACATTCTTCCTTTGATCCCTAAACTGTAACTTCCCAGCTTCCTGTTCCCTCATACACCTAACTTTCCTTTTCCTCCTTCAGTGGACTACAAAATTAATTCCCACCACCACCAGTGTACCAATGGCAACATCACTACTTCCCCATTAGTGGATTCATAATGACTTATTTCCACAGACCCATATTGTGTGGGAAAGAGTGTTGTTGAGAAACCACATTAAGAAAAATGGATTTAGAATGTAATATGGTTCTACCATTCGTGATGATATTTGGTCCATCAAAGTCCCTTGAAACTGTATTTCATTTAACTAGTTTATCTTTCAATATAACATTGCATTTTCTTATTCGGGGGGAGGGGGGGCTGTGGGGGAGAGTCCTTTATTTTCTTTGTTTTAAAATGAGATATTAAACTTTGCAGATAATCTCAAGCAGTAATTCAGGAGCTGAAAACATATTAATCTGATTAAAGAAAATGCATTCAATTCATCCTTTGTCTAATTTCCCTGACTAAATAGAGTTACATCAGGGCATTTGGCCTAATAGCTTGATCTGTGAGAGAAACATTAGGCTACCTCTATAAGGATTTGATTGAGTTTTCTAACTACCAATGTCTTCACTCATTAGGTTAGGCTTTTCACATGTTCATTATTTCATTCCCAGTAGCTTCTCCTCATTAACCTCAATTTCCTATTTCTCAAGGTTAGATAATGCTGATGTGAGTAGAATTAATGTTTTACAAAAATTCATCTTCCAGTTATCCAGGCAAGGAGCACCCTGTCTGTTTCCTTTTAATAGTCAAACACTCAAAAGGTGCAAAAAATAAAAATAAAATATAAAAAAAACTCATCTAGAGATGCCTGACCCTGCAATCTTTTGGTACAGGATCTCCTTAATTTCAAAAGGAAATTGGCATAAAAAGATCTGCCTAATCCTGCCAGTCCTATTAAGACAAAATGCCTATTGTGTCAAGTATTCAGATTGCCACAAAGAGCCAAAAAGGTGAATTAAAGTTGGAGATTCCTTGAGCATAGGGGAAATTGTCAGATGGATGAGAACTGCTCCTGTGCTTTCTGGTCTTTCTTGATATAAGGATATTTCAGAGGCAGGAAGGAAAGCAGCTGGCGCACACTCCATTGCAGTATCCAATCCCAAAATAATGGCCTCTTGGATGCAACAAGTCAACAGAGTATAGAGCAGCTCTAAGGCACCTCTGTGTTATGTCAGGGACTAATTTGGCCATGGGCTGTACTAAGGATTGGAGCAGAAAGGGAATGGAAAGGTAACATACCATTTTGCTCAAGGGAGTGCTGTAAGCATCAGCTGGTAATAAGCATTTAAAATAACTCAGCTTTTAGTTAAACTGGGCAATGTAAAGTAATAGTAGATGAATGGGAGTCTTATGTTAGAAACCAAAAAATATCAGCCACATATTAAAGTTAACACAAAAAACAACCTTTTCTATTTACATATTAAATCTGTTGCAAAAATATTAAATAGTGAAGTCCATATGGTGATAGTAATGTAATTCTTTAAAGCATAATGAAACCTGTTCTGTTTCCTGTGTTACCATTTCAATGCCACTTGTCAGAAATGGAGTAACTGAACAAACTGGGTACATAGTAATTTCTATACTATGTTCTCAGCATAGCCATCTGGATTCTGGGCTTCACCCACACAGCTAAGGGACTAGACAACAGTATCAGGCTAAACTCATTATATTCCTCTTTACTGAAAGCACTGCTGTATTGAAAAGGCCTCATTCCCACTGCTTTCCTTCACACAGACCACAGAGAGCACAACTACAAAAAAGAACTAAAGGGCAAGGAATACCTGCATCAATCCTGTGACTCTTATTAAGAGAATAATTCTAACAATTTTACTTGATAATGTATGCCCACAGATAAATTGGCAGATCTCATTAGGAATGGTTAATGGCCGGTTGCTGCCATCCTAATGACTGTATCTGATTGCTTCATCTGTGTGCTGTGGCTTTGCCACATTCCCCCTATTAGCACCCCTGCTCAGAGTAAAAGTGATAAGCAATGTGACAAAGTGCCTGCTGACATTTCAGCAGATTTGACATAATGGACTTCTTACCAAAACCTAAGTTTGTAACTAAAAAAGTGCAGCATTCACTGAAATTTGGTTCATGAGTACATGTGATCATTCCCTTCTTTGGTGCTAAAGCAAGACTAAGAGAGAACGTACTGAAAGGAAAATATTTTCTAGCCATTCCTCAATCCAGAGGTTGGTGCAGTGCTTGGGATCTGCTTCACTGTATTTTATCATCTCCATGTTATGATATGGAATCATGTAATACCATAAAACAGTCATGCTATGTCTTCCACTGCCAACATCTGGGAGCTTTCATGAATCCTCCTCCATGGCTGTGCCAAAAACATTTTCAAAGTGCATGACATGCATCAGCCCTCACCCCATTACCCACTGAATATCTGATTTCTGGTTCAGACTAGGCCATATCTTTCAGATGGACATATGGGTTACATAAGACAGAAGGGAAATTATGTATATATTTGCCACATTCCCCCTACACACACACATACACACTCTAGACACTCATCCTAGCCCAATTCTGATTTAAAATGTTTGTTGCAGCTGTACTAGTTAGCCCTTTCTGTCCTTCCCTCTTGATTCTATCTCCTGTGTCCTAAACTGTATTTGTTTCTTTACTGTAGGGGGAAGATGGCTTGCCAGTTCAGGGATGCTGGAATAAGGTAAAATAGCCTTGAACTTTGGGGGCTGTGCTGAATTAGAGGTATTGCTGCATTTTGCAGGTGCTTTTTTGTTAATCTAATAAAATAGATATGTAAAGTGTACAGAGGATTCCCACTACAACACTCTTGACAAACAATAAGCAAACCCATCTATTTAATCTATAAAATACTACACAAAATATGGTCTGAAAGTGAGGGGATTTTATGAGGACCTTTGATACTTCAGATCTTGAAAAAGAGTTAATAATTCCATGAAAAACAATTTGATATATTAATTGTAAGCAATACTTTCTATTCATAGATCTCCAAGCACTTTCTAAATGTGGGTAGGCACTGATATCCTCATTTTGGAGAAACTGAGACAGATTAAAGACCAAAATTGTCAAAATTGAGTATCTAATATTAAGCACTTGAACCTAATTTTAGGTATGCAAAAATAATAATTGACTTGATTTTCAACAGAGACAACCACAGATAGTATTCAACTGCATTAACTTGGAGTTATCATATAAATGAGGGAATTAATATCTTTGAGACTGGATGTCTAGCTTAGGTGTAGTTGCCTTTTATAAATCTCTCAAATTCTACTTCCCCCACCAAGTTAAATATTGAAAACTCTCACATTAGGCTTTGATCCAGCAAACTTTCTGTGATCTCATGGACCTCTGACTTAGAATGTCCAACTTTAGATGCCCAGACCTGTATTTTCAGATAAGCTGAGCACGTGCAGTTCCCACTACTTCACTTAGATTCGTGGATGCTCAATAACTCTGAAAATCAGGTCCTAGGTTTCTAAATTAAGACACTCAAAACTGAAGCACTTGAAATTATATAAGCCTCAACCTCTTGGTGCTTCTGCATGTCATCTGCAAGAAGGGTCTAACGTAGGAATTAGCTAACTAAGAGTATGCCTGTATTGTACTAGGTAGGGTTATACTGAGACATGCAAAATCAGCTGTTGTTCGCACTAGCTCCTAACACAGAAATACAGTACCCATGATATAAGTACAGTGCTGTGCCCAAACTGATCATCTGTACTGTGAGGGCAGAGCTCATGGGTACGACATTTTGCTGCACCAATGGTTACCTTACTTCCAGTTTGAGAATTACCATATGTGGAGTGGGCAGACGGTGTCTTAGTTCAGCTCTGTCCTGTGCCACATAGACACACCCTAAATATTGGTAAAGTGCTTTGAGTTCTTTAGATAAAATGTGCTGTAATAACAGGTACTAACTTAATGCACCATAATCAGCGCTACTGTGCAGTAGCACAGATGAACACTTTTTATGTGACACTAATGCACGATAGATTAATTCTTCTGTGCATTAGCACATTAGCATGTTTTTTGCCAGCTGTGCTAACACGCAGTAGAATTACTCTATTGCGATGTTAGCGTCTCATGTAGATGCGCCCACTGTGTCAGAACCTAAACTCTCAGGAACTCGAAGGTCTGTTTGAAGTTTGCAGCCATGACTGTTTATACTAATCCTGACAGGGCAACTTCTGGATGTGCCCACTGGGCTGAAGATTCCTTGTCCATGATTTATATACACAGTCACACAAACCATCCCAACCCTTTAAAGAAAGGCAGCACAGAACCCTGCTCGAGCCCCTTTTCCCTTCCTTTTTGACAGGTCAGTTGCAGAAACATAACTGGGAATTCTAGCACACTAGGTGGGATAGGGGAGGTGCTGAGCAGAGGAGAATTTTACCATAGACCAAGGGTAGGCAACCCCTAGCATGAGTGCCAGAGCATGGCACTTGAAGGCATTTTGCTTGGCGCACACACCTGGGGTCAGACAGTGGGGGGAGAGACCAGGGCTGTGCTGCAACAAGGATCAGGCCTCTCCCAGCTCCCCTCCCATCTGCCCCTGGCACGCCAAAATCTTACAAGTCAAGGTTGCAGGTGTTTTTGGCACTCTGCCTAAAAATGTTGCCAATCCCTGCCACAGACTCTAAAGACCTTGACTGCTGCTGCCACTGTGGCCCAGTCTTCCCTCACACTGGGGGTTGCCACTATATGGGCTGTCTGCACACTAGTGACTGTTCCTGTGGCCACTGTCATGCAGGCTCCTGGGGATCACCATACTTGCCTGCCCTTAGTTACGCTACTCTTCAGTTGCATAGGAATTACTAAATCCGTAAGACTTTTGAGGCTTACATTATGGCTCCTTTTCAGGACCAGCCCCTTAGTCTTATTACCTGCTATTTGTGTTAGTGCAGAATGTAACTCCACAAGCAGCAAGGAGCCGCACCGCACCCTAGCATGGTGTAGGCTCCGGGTGGCCACAGCAAAAACTACGCGGCAGCAGAGGAGGAGGAGCTGCTTTCCTCCTCACCAAGCAGCAGTTTCTGCCCAGCTGCTGTTGCCACTGCTGCCACTGCTCAGCCTCAATGGGCAATCCTGGAGCTGGCACAGGGCATGCAGTCGTGGCTGCACACACTGGTCTCCGCCGCTACTGCTGCATGCGGCGAGATGGGAGAGAGTGGGCGTGGGGCGCACTGGGGCTGTGCATTGTTGGGGGGGACGGGGAGGTGCCACAGGGGGCGCAGGCCCTCAGCTGTTGCGGGGCGGGGGCAGGTGTTGACCAGCTCAGGGGGGTTCATACAGGGGTGAGCTCCCGTGCACACCCCACATACCCTCAAACCTTTCCCGCAGACCCCACAGCCACACTCTCCCCCACACACAATCACACACCCCACAAATACCGTACCCACATACACACATATACCCACAACCCTCCATACCCACCCACAGCTCCCCACAAACCCCACATCCACCCACACCCCCAACACTCCTGCACACCCCACACACTATACAAGAGTAAGACTGCATTTTGAACTATTATGCAATCACTTCTACATATACAGCACGCACACACACAAATTAGGACACTTTTTAAAAAATTAAATTAATATATATTATTATGAGTCTTTTATAGTATAGTATAGTATATAGTTTTTTATAGTAGTCTTTGTAGTATATAATTTGTTTTTTCCCCCATTCTAAGATGGCAAACCCTCTTCCCCAAAGGCGTACTTCCAGGGAAAAAGGGGAGGGACTTCCAGTGGCAAAGGCCAGAGGTTAGGGATGAGACTTATGGTCCCAAGATGGAGACCAGGGAGCAGTGCACCTGTCCAGGGGCAGGGCTACCCATGTGGCCCTTGACAGCTTGCCAAAACTCAGTAAGTGGCCCTCCGCCAGAAATAATTGCCTGCCCTGGATTAGGGAGTCATCCATCATTGTCTCTCCTCCTCACTTACGAGATAAATGAAGGAAACATACCTGACTGCTTGCTCTCCTAGTGTATGTCCTGGAGCATGCTCATATGACAATGTGCGCCCTGAAATGCATTTCCCTCTAATAAAAAAAATCTTTCCAGTTGTTTGAACCGTGCAACTAACTCGGGTTTATTTTCTTTTGCAGTGATGGTTCTAACCATGGACTGGTCTGTGTGTGTTTTTGTACATAGAATATTTATTTTTATACAGTGTTCTTCTCTGAAATGCCAAAAGTTATGCATTTTACAAATTATCAAAAAGCTGCATTTTTTTGTACAGAAAATACTAATTTTCCCTTTTTCTGTTTGTCAATTCTTTGTGTATTTCTATGGCTATCTTATGCTTATTTTGTTGTGGAGTACAGCTGTAATATTTGCATGATATTTATGCACTCTTGATAAGTATTGGAACTTAATAAATTATTGCATTAAAGTACCAAAAGGAACTATTTCATATCGATTTAAAGCTCATTTTCATTCCCCATCCCCAAGAAAATAATTCAAGAATATTTTAAAGTATTATGAGTGTTCTGTACTAAAATGAAATATAACAGCTTATCTCTTTTGTGAATAAATTCTGTGGGAACCTGAGCCAACCAGCAATAATAATGAACCTAGGAATTTCTGTTTATTAATCACTGTTAGGCAGCATGGATGTCTTGTTCAGTTTGCCCTATTCTAGTGCTATCTAATCACCCCTAGAGGACTGGTGCTATATCAGAAAAGGCACCTGTTCATCACTGAAACGTGTAGGCAGAAAAACAGGCATATACATAAAGAACTGTGTTAAATGTGTTGGACTGCATTAAGACGGTGAGTCCCACATTACCAGTTAACCAGCTGGGAGGAAGAACACTTGTGATTATGGTTCCCAGCTCAGCACAGAGCCCAAACACCTGCCTAATATTACACAGGTGAGTAGTTTCATTAAAGCAATGGAACTGCTCACATGCTTAAAGTTAGGCTCATGCTTGATTTACCTTGATGCATGCATATAGCATCATCAGATGCATATTGTCCATTTAGGATTAATCAAAAGGTTGCATGCAAATTTGGAAAGATAATTGTTATGTGCATATATGTACCTTTTAGTTACTCTTTTTGGCTTACTTATATGAATGTCTGCAACTCGCTTACCCATTCAGTAAAGATTATGTCAGTATGTTAAAGTGAATATCACAGTATACAGAGCAGAAGCAGTAAAAGAACAGAGGTTTATAATACAGTATACCCTCATAAATCCAGATCTAAAAAATCCGGAATTCTCGAAAATTTGAAACTTTTAAAAAATACACTACACTACATCGGGAAGCCCAGAGCAGAGGCCGCACATGGAGCAGCGGTGGGGGGGGGGCATTTGCAAGCTTCCCCCCCCTGCAGGGGAAGCTTCCCTGGCTCCCGGACTGGCTGTAGCTTGCTCCCCGCCACCACATAGAGGGGAAAGCTTGCAAGTGGCGGCCACCATCCACCACCCTGCACTGCAGCTCCAGGACCAGCCACCACTCCCCCGCCTCGAGTCCATGACCAGTTTAAAAAAATCCAGTATTTTTAAGTTCCGGCAGGTGCTTGGTCTTGAGCATGCTGGATTCATGAGGTTATACTGTAGTTTGAAAGGTAGTGCTAACCTACAAAAGCCTTGGTCTGAGATAATTTGCAAACGAACCAAACTGAGATCCTGATAACACAAATTACATTTGTACTCATCAGATTCACCCTGTCCATAAAAGGTCAAATTTAGTCATGAAAGAGGTCAGTGCAATGCTCAATGAAGCAAATGGGAGTTGTAGACACTTTTTCCTGACTGAATTTGGACTAATATGTACATTGTACATAGGAAACAAATGGATGATGTGCAATTGTAATACAGGAGACCCTTGCCATTCGTGGAGGATAAGTTCTCGTATCCCCTGCAAATGGCGAAATACGCAAATAAGGCACTGTGTTCATGAACACCATTTGCAAATATTTGAAACCGCGTATACTGAACCAGCAAATAGCAAGGTTTCCTGTATTTGTCTACCTTTCATGCTGCTTTTCTGAAGAGTGCAATATGAGCAATACAATATACATCCCAGAACTCTTAGGGGAAGTTAACAGTGTCAGAAATTACAAAGCAGACGCAGAAGGTCCACCAATTACATTAAACACATATATAGAAATTATGCTCTTCAAGGATTGTTATATCTCTACCAGCAGTTCAGCAGTCTCCTTCACAACATCTAGGCTGCATAAGGAAGGTGAACACCTACTTGGACAAAGTGCTGTTACAAACCCTTGTATGCAACTATGCATTATATCTTCTCATATCATATCATATCACCAATTTGTTAGTGAACTAATTCTTCATCTTGTATTACTTTATAGCAAGAATCTATGCCATCCTCCTATGTTTGGGGACGTTTGGCTGAATTGGTGTAGAATAAAATATAACAAGTCTAGCACTGTTTTGGGTCCCCTCCCCCATTTTAATTAACATAAAATAGTTCCCCCTTACAAGCTTGTGGAGCCATGAAGTTTTGTTGCCATGAACAGCAGTTATTTGAAAACTAATGCTACACAATTCCAGCATTACAACTGGATCACACATTTTACAAAACACAAGTCAAAACAAAATAAAGCAAAAGCACCTGGATGAATCACAATCATGTAATTCAGTTCTCACAGGAATATTATAGTGTAAGAAGGAAATTGAATATCTTGTAGCAATTAGCAAACAAGATAGAAGAGTCCACATATTTTGACCCTTTCTAAAAACAGAGGGTGCATTTAAATATCAGAAACTGATACACTCATAGAAGAATCTACAAATGTCTTCTTTCGTCTTTCCATCCCCTTGTCCTTTATAACATAATTCCAAGTGTGCTATTTTGTATTGCACTTGCATGGATGTTTTATTGCAAGGTTTTTTAAATCTAAAACAAAACAAAACTTACATTTGTAACACTGTTTTGTTTTACTTTACTGAAAGTTAATGAACCAATTTATTACTTCTCATGCTGTTTTTCAATTAAGACGTATGAGAGGAAGGAAGTCACTGTCTGAAGCATCAGGGATCTTGACATGTACTTGCCAGTGCTCTTGAAAGCAGATGATTTGTAACTTCTAAGGCACAGCAGGAAAATGGACTTGATTCTCTATCACTCCTGCTTTGCTCCAGCATAACTCCATTGGCTTCAATAGAGTTGCTTCTGATTTACATCTGTGCAAATAAAAGAAGAATCATGACCATGACCAATATCTTCAGATAGGATCTTTTAGTCAGCAATGTGCAAATACAAACACCTGGCAAAATCAGCATACTTCTCTCCTCACTTCTTTATTCAGCTATGCTTCAGATAATGTGCCTTACTCTCTAAACAATTTCAAAGATGCCAGTGGACTGTGAAGTGAAGGTTCTGAGCATCATATGACTTCTAGGTCTTGCTTAACACTCTTCCTGATCTCCTTAAAAAAATTAGCTTCAATTTGTGCAAAAGAATTTAAAAATTAATAGTATATGTACTTCAAGAGGGATTTTCTCAGAATATTGTTTACTGACTTAAAAATTAGTTTTTTCTCCTACTTGAAAAATAACAAAAATTTTAAAATTTGGGCAGAGAGTATTTCTTAACTTCATTAATAAAGAAAACTCAATTCTTGGGGAGTTAGGCTTGGGATGGTCTTGACTCTAGATGAAACGTTTATTTCAAGAGACTGGTGCCTAACCTGGCAAGGAACATACTGGTGCTGATCTGCATCTTTAAAAGCCTTGATACCTTTGAAAATCTTGCCTTCGAGTATCTCAGAGACTCAACAACAAAGAAGCTACAGGGAAAAAAGTATTAAATTGTTACATAGAGAGCATGTCTGCGTGAGATGCTACTGTGCGGCCGTTACTGTGCGTTTATTTAGTATTTGTATTAGCAAGTACTCAATAAATACGCAGTAACTGACTTATTGTGCAGTAGCACCGGCAAACGTCTTTTAGGTGACACTACTGCGCAGTAGCCTAAGAAAACTGTGCAGTAGCATATTAACACTGTCTGTGCTGTGACACGCTACTGCACAGTATTTTTCAGCTACAGAGCATATAGCATTTCGGCTTCACAGTCTCATGTAATTCACAGCAATAAACTCCAGTTTATTGCTCCTTGGCATGTCGTTTGAATGTACAGCCAGGACCACAGCACACTGAGCCAGGATGGAGTTGCCCCAGCTGGTAGGGCACCTGGGGAGTCAGGCACCTGCTAGCCCAGGGCTGCTCTGACCCAGCTCAATGTGCTGTGGAGGGGCTAGCTGGGGCATGAGGGTGCTCCAGTGTGGGGCTAGCTGGCAGGCAGCCACTGCATTGAAGCACCCTTGTGCTCTGACCAGCCAGGTCAGCATCTACACGTGCAGTGCTGCACATGCTAAATCTCTGCATCAGGAGAGTACTTGTATTTACAAGTACTAACCTACTGCAGAGTTATTTAGTTTCCTGCAGCTTAATAGGGCCGCATGTCTAGATGCTAAGACATTTACTTTGGAGCTAATTAGGCAACTCCACAGTAAACATCTTGTGTAGATGCACCCAGAATACACAAAAAACTGCTGCTAACAACAACAAATATTTGCCCCTTTAGGTACATTAGAAATCGTTTAGCATGGGAAAGAGAACCTGAAAAGTTCTATTGTAATTTCACAAGTTAAAGTTATGCAGACGAAGAAGGCTACTGCTCTACTGGAACTCACTTTTCAGTGACTATACCTTTTTTTGGAAATCTGTCAGCTAGTGGGAAAGCAGGGGACCTGGTCTAAGTCCTTCTGGGTTGCTTTGGAATCCTGATAACATTAATACTCCCTCCACCCTTGGACTCAAGAATCACAAAGACTGATGTCGTGCCTTCTCTTCCTCTGTGTCAACATGGGATCAGCCATAGTTACATCCTAGTTTATTAATATTGTGCAGTGTTTCAGGTACATCTGGAACCTATAGTCCTCAAGGCCATGGCTGGTACATGGTGAAATTCAATGGAACAGAGCTTTAATGGAAAACTGCTCCTATGCCCTTGCTAGTAGCAAGGAAGAGACTGAATGGGGGTAGAAAGATCACAAAGGAGGAACTGAAAGCAAGCCCATAATCCTGTACTAATACCTAGAGGAGAGCTGAGGAGGCAGTGTCTTCATGGGTTTGGATTTGACAGGACCAAAATGTTATTAATTATAATGAGATTTTGGTGCAAAATGTCAGAAACTTCTAGCCATCAGTTGGTCTTCTGATATTCCCACTAGCTTAGACTACAATTTTGGCTGAACACCTACTCTGACAAGATTTAAACCCGTTATAATATTTGAGTTTAACAAAAAACAAATTCTAAAAGCAGGTTTTGATCAGTTAGTTGTGAATGACCCTAAAATTTGAAGTTTCTGATTCAAGGTTTAGATTTTTGGTCCATCTCTACCGAAACTTACAGCACTATAAAGCAGTGTTACTGTTGAGTACTACACTAGTGGGTATTTTGATAGGCTGTTTTCACATTAAAACATTTCTCTGCCTCTTCAAGGGTCAAACTCCTTGGCTGATAGCCAAAAAGTGAG